AAAACGTGTTGTGACTTTTCACTATTAGCTTTTTCTATTGCAAAAATGAGAAACAATTGACATATGTGATTTAAGGTGAAGAATTCTTCCTATGTATTAGGAAGGTATACACAAGGTATGAAAATATTTAGATTTTTCTTTTTAAACATAAAGCTATTGGAAAGGGAAAAGGTAGTTGTTTCAGATGTCTGCTGAAGTTCTGAGTAGTTTTTTTGTTTTAACTTTATATGTCTCTATTTAGAAAACTGGTTATTCCACAAAAATCAATGAAAGAGCATGTAGGTATTCTGAGAAAACAAACCAACTGAAGCATTCTGATCAGTGTTCTTTAAAATAAGCAGTAAGAGCTCCCCGGTGAATAAAACAGTACTAGAAGTACAATTTTGTGCTTCACAGAGCTTTAGTCTTCTTCCTGACTTGGAACATGGGAAGAAGAGAAGAGGTAAAGAAAGATTTTAAAACATTGACACTTTCTATAGTATTAGAATTCCAGAAATAGTAATTACAAGGGAAAAAAAGAGAACTCATCACCTTTATAAAATAGAGCTGAATAATTTTTAAAATTCTAATGATTTCTGTAATTTTAAGTGCACGTTCTTTTAGCTACCAAAATATAAGTTTAGCCAAAACCTAAAATTTCAAAAGAAGATACAGGTACACTTGATCCATCTACCCAAGGTATAGGAACACATATAAAATTAATCTGTTAATGTGGTTTAATTGCCTTTTACTTTACACTGATGTGATTCAGAAGGCACAAAGAAGCTTCTTGATTAAAATAAATTGGTAACATGATAAGGTAAATCTATTTATGCTTAAAAAAAATCTCAGGAACCCTGGACAATGATTTTAGATTGATATTAAAAAAGTATAAATTTATAAAGTAAAACAACAAGAGGGAAAGGAAACGTTTTTAATATGGGTGTGCACCACAATGTTTTATCTCATAAAACTGGGGTCCATATAGGCCAAAATCATTACAGCTTGATTTTGATAATGTTAAAAAGTATTTTAGTTTCAAAAAGCTTCCTATATCAAAATTAGGTTTTAAATTAATTTCCTGTATCAAAAAATTAAAAGCAGTTATTTTAACCTTGCCTCAAAAAAAAAAAAAAAAAAATTTCTACAAGAATTATGCCATGTTTCTCACTGTCAGTATTACAGTTTCTTTATGCCTTAATCTGTTCTAAATTCTCTGCAATCTTTATTTTTTCCTTTCTTTTTTTTTTTTTTAATATCAGCGTTTATCTTACAGTTTGGATAGAGATCATGAGACTTTTACAGACACCACATTTACCATATTTGTTTAAGCTATGAACTGTGATTTGGATTTATTTTCTGAGGACAGCTTTCTGGTTTACCATCCACTTTCAGAAATCTTTCTTGTGTAATGTTTATCTTAGACAGTTGAACATGAACTCTGCTTTTCTTCACATCCCAGTTTTCCTTGCTCTGTAGAACCTATATGGTGCAGACCTACTGTTTAGCAAGGCAGCCAGGAGCAAGCCCACAACCCCGCAGGGCAGGCTAGGAACGAGGGAACCTCTAGTACATTCAGTGTCATGCTCAGTAGCTCCAGTGCCCACAGAACCAGGGAACCTCCTGAGCTGGGAGGGACCCATCATGATCATCGATCCAATCCTGGCCCTGCCCAGACACCCCTGCAATCCCACCCTCTGCCTGGGAGCGTTGTCCAAGTGCTCCTGGAGCTCAGGCAGCCTCGGAGCTGTGGCCACTGCTCTGGGGAGCCTGCCCAGCGCCCAACACAACAGTCTGCAGAAAGAAGAAAAGGCAAGGGTTCAATTCATTAAAGACAGCCCCAGGAATGTGCATAGCATCAACCATAGGGACTATCTTCTTAGTCCTTGTTCTAGCTGACACAGTAAAAAGAAAAAGTCCATGTGTAAACTAAAGTAACATTTTAGTGCAGAAAAAAACCACATTTAAAGGATGATTTGAGATTGTTTTGGTTTTTTGTCTTGTCTGCAAGTTCTTCAACCTATTCCTTTTCTGCTGTCTAAGCCACACACCCTTGGCAGGTGATGTATTTTAAAAACTGTATTTCATAGTGAATGTTGAATAAATGGACTTCTGTCTCAAGGATGCATTTTCCTTTATCTTGGACACAATGGCTGCTATCCATGGAGGTCTTCTTCCTGCCCCTCACCTTCAGAAATGGCTATTGTAATATTCAGGATCATCTATGCTATAACTTGCCATATAAAAATCCATTTTCTAGATTTGAGACCTTTTTGCTTTCTTTTCTCTCTCTAAGAAGAAGGTTAAGATTCTTAGGATATTGCCTGAAATCCTCCATAACAAATGAATATTCAAGATGCAGTCTAAATCACATTTTAAAAAATGTGCTCTCTAATAAGATTCTTGCAGTTTGGTCAGAAATTTAACAAAAAGTCTATGGAAACAATCTCCAAATGGTTATTAAAAGTGAATTTTTCTGAAGAATGACTTACTAATAGGGATAAGTATAAACTATTCAGCTAGACAACACTGATTTCTGATAATCCTAACATTCCAGACTATGACCTATTGAAGTTAAGGACAGATACTAGAAGAAGCCATTTGTGGAATAAACAGCTTTTGTGATTCCCTTTTTGTGAAGAGATGTAAGACTAGACAGTTAAGGATAGTAACTGTTAATAATGATGTGATTTAAATATGCCTGTTTCCATATTGTTGATATGGTTAAAGAACATGATAAAGCAGAGGTACTTTAAATGTACTGCTTTGCCATTTATGAGCACAGTTACACAGGATTTGTGACTTCAGCCACTAATGCCCAATATTAGATATTTTCCCTGAGACGAAACCGAAACCATATGCATGTTTGTAAGATGGTCCTATTTTAGCAATGATTCAGAATGTAGAGAAGTCTTTGTACTATGTGGTAGTATTGAACACTATGTCTTAACATTTCCTGATTTTGTATATTTGTAATTAAACTAGTTGTTACAGGCTAGACCTTTGATCCATTATGCTGATTAAAACAAACAAACAAAAAAAGCAAGTTCATGAACTCAGGTGACAGTCCAATTTCTTTTTTCTGTGAGCTAGCAAATGGCTCACAGAGTTCATAGATTATTTATAAAAGGTTATTTCATCAACCCTCCACAAACAAAATTTGTGCATTGCATTGGACAGGGCTAATGGAATGAATGGTATAACATCTTAGCATTCCCAATAAATCCTGAGTTGAAGACCTCTTGAAGTTTTGTATTGGATGGGGCTTTCCACACTTACCTTCGAACTAGCTTCTAAAAGGACAAGCATAATGCCCTTGATTAGTGGTGTCTGTGATCTGTCCGGGCTGCAGGGAAAGCCATACGCTTCATCCTCCTCATTCACACAGACACTTCACTAGATCTGTGAATAACACTTGATTTGTGCATTACTTAAACACAGAATGACGTCTTAAAGGATTGGATTTATTACAGATCCAAGTGCTCTTTCTGTAAGTGCTCTTGTTTGCTAGCCAGGAAAAAGAGTAGCTGCTACTGCTGGTATCATTCATGAACCCATTCTAGCTGTCTTCTTCCCCTGGAGAGAGTTATGCCAAATAAATGGTATTGTCTGGGGCAGTAGGCCTGCTTCTGGGTGCTATAAACAAGATTTTCCCAAGTCCAATAAGCATTGCTCTTGGCATGATAGTGAAAAGCAACATGCCCATCAGCAAAGAAACCCAACAGCCTTTCTCTCCCTATCAATTTTTGTTCCATTGTTCCTCTCTTCCCAGCTCAATTATACAGCTCTTCTGAGCTCTTCATCCTTGTCTCCAATTAAATAGTACTTTGCCCATTATTTCTCTGTGTGAAGAAGTGAATAAAATGCAATACAATCCAAACATATTTGAAAGCATGAATGGAAAGAGAATCAGGGATGTTGCTAAACATAGCAATTGGATGGTGTACAACTTAGGCGCCACTGTCTAGTTTCTAACCAGCCAGGCTGGTCTTACACAGGTCTCAGATCTGTCAGACCTATTAGGCATGGACACACTGAATTTGTATGTCTTGTAGCCCCCTGCCAGGGTATCTTCACTGTGTTTTTCTTCCCTTTTTAAATTTTCTTTTTTCTTTTCTTTTTCTTCCTTTTATCCTCCCTTAAAGAATAGCCAGCCTGCTACTGTTGCACACTCCTTTATTTTACTTGCAAAGCATGATCTATGGCACTTATTCACCACTTAATCCCACATACTGGGATTCAGGAAAGGCCTGCTGCAGACTGATGACAGATGGAGATTGGATCACTGAGGGTCATGATAGTTGTGATACAAGTCGAGACTCGTTAGTAATAACATAACCTGCCTTCTTCAGGCCCTGGCTCAGAAACACACTGTGAAGTCTCTCCCACGTTCTGTAGTGGCCAGGGACACTGGAAATCATAATTTGTTTAGGATTGCTAATCTAAATGCTGTGATTATGTGAAGACTTAGCATTTTAAGAATTTGGGAAGATTATCTCCTGATTTCCAACATCACGCAACATCTTCCCCTCAAGTAAAAATGGCTGCCAATGTCTTACTTTCAAGAGGACATAACTGAGGCCTCAATGCAATTTAAATGAACGGCAATTCTGTTGCTTTGCCGTTGAGGGGGCTCTGCACAACATCCCCATCCCGCCGCGTCCTTCACGGACAGGCGGGTGTAGCCGGTGACGAGAGACGGGGGAATTAATTTACAGGGTTCAGGCAAGGAAGAGAATGTGATAGAGACAGAAAACTCAAAAGCGTGCTGCAGTTTTCAGGCAGAAGGCGGAGGACGCCACGGATGCCCCTGGAGAGCCTGCTGGATGTACCGAAGCGAATCCTACCGCTCCCGGAGGGTTATCCGCCTCCGCCCCGCCCACAGCCCTCAGGCTCCGCTCAGGGCTCCGCCCCCGCCGCGCCCCTTCCGCGGGACGGGCCCGCGCGGCAGCAGTTCTCGCGGGAGCTGGGAGTGGCCGCGCCGGGCAGTCGGGCGGTCTCGCGCCGCCGCCATTGTGTTGCGGGAGCGCCGCGAGCGGGCGGCTCGGCCCGGCCCGGCCTGGCCTGGCCTGCGCGGCGGCCCGGCCGTGACGGTGAGTACGGATCGCCCGCGGTGGGCCCGCCTGTGGCTCGGGCCGCGCCTGCTACGGGGCCCCGCCCGCCCTGGCGGCCTCACGCCAGGGCCGGGGACACCATTTTGTGCCGTGCCGGCCCATCCGCCCTTCTCTCCGCCATCGCCGCCAACGGCCGCTCGGCTCCGCGCCCGCTCTCGTAGCGAGCTTGTTCCTCTCCGTCCACCTCGCGGCCTCTGCCCGGCCGTTGGGGCCGGATGCTGCCGGAGTAGCGGGACCGGGTGCGGCCGCGGGGCCCGGCCGGGCCCGAGCCGTGCGAGCCGCTTCCCGGGGCCTGGCGGCGGAGGTGAGATGCCCTCGGCGGCTCTGCAGAGCACCTGCTGGCTGCGAGAACAGCCCAGCCTTAGGGCACCAGCCGCGGCAGCGTGGGCAGCCATCGACATTTGTAAATGTTCTTGCTCCTGAGAGGTTCCTGAGAGGCTCCCGAGTTATTTGTCAATTTCACTACATTGAAGGTTGAGAAAATAGCCATAACGAGGAATTGCAGAGTCTGAGAGAAAGACTCGTGAGCTCTGTCTCGTTTGTCATAAAAACGTGATTGTGAGTAAGCTCCGAGTAAGATACGTGAGCATGTTTTCTCCCGAGGTTGCTCGGGAGAAAATCTTACGAATAGTTTTATTTTAAACCACACAAAAACATGTAGATATGAGAGCTCGAGTCTTAGGTAGAAGTGTCAGTGCATAGTTCCAAGCTAGAAGAATGAATTTAGGAGCAGGCAGTGAAGCTTATGCTTCCCTCTGATGGAGGGTACAAGATTGCTTAAAACTGGTAGTAATCATGGAAGCTGGCAAACACTTCACTTACTCTTAGACGCGATTACCTGAAATTGCTCCTCTTTTATTGATAGAGAGGGTCAAGGCAGAAGAGAAATATTTGCTCTCTGTGTTTTGTCAATCCCTTTTTGTGAAGGGGTATAAAAATGGACAGTTAAGGATAGTAACTGGTTTTGTCTTTTGAGATTGCACTGCTTTCCCTCAAAGACTGCTTGGATCTTTTATCATTGGTGGCTGTGTTAGGTCTAGTTCGTCTTTTACAAGGCTGTTGGAGGGATGACAGATCAAAGAAGGCAGGACATTTGATCTGTGTGCTCAAAATAGGCTGTGCAGCTCCACCTCCTTTTGGCCATGTGTTTCTCAGGTATGACTAACAAGTTTCATTTCAGAACTTGATTTCTGACCAAGTTTTGAGAGGTATTGCATATGTCCCTTATTTCAGGAGGATCTGGAATTGTTTCAATTTTTTTCATGAGGTTTTGATTGCTGAGTAGTGTAACATGGCATAAGCTGGTGAAATATGTTGTTTTGATAAGCAGAGTGCTGTTCATCCTGCTGTACATGTTCTCATTTTTCTATTGTTGGGTATGAGTGTGAGTAGTGTTAAAACAATAGAGAAGTCAGAAGTGCATTTTTACTGGTTGATGTGTTGAGAGTTCTCAATGAAGGGCACATCAGGTGTGATATTTGAGTAAGGTATTCCTTTGCTTTTTGGCAACAACAGGCTTTTTAATCAGTTCAGACTACAACCCAGTTTCTGGTTCCATGATAATTGTTATTGTTTCCTCAGAGAAGACATTGAAGTATTTTTTGGTCTCACTACCTTCTGCATAAATTGAGGTATCTACTTTGTCATTACAGAACTTGCTACAGCATGTTAATTACCACTTGGGGTTTGTTGAATTCCTATGTGTGTAAACAAAATGTTTGAGGTTTTGAGTGTTTTTCTTCAGGAAAACCCTTAAGATAATGATACCATAAAATGAAACCATTCTCATTCTGAAATATTGTATACAAGCTCAATATTCCCCTTACAGACAAGTATTATTGTGGTTGTTTTTTTTAGCATGAGAGCATTGTATTGCTCTGTCCTGTGCTCTGTGATAGCTTAGCATGCTCACATTATTTATAACCACCTCATTGTGTTGCTATGATCAGCATAAGCCTTGTATGTGTTTTGTTTATATTCAAACCACCTGTGAAGACAGTTGCATCTCAGGCTTTCAAGCTACAGTGCCTAAAATGGTATTCGGAGAACTCTGGGGAAAAAGTTCCAAGACCCAAAAGACATCTTACTAGTGTTGATCACTAGAGGTGAAGTGCCTAGATCTAGTTTTGTCTGTCTAGTAAATGGACATCATGGCTCCGTTGACTTCAGCTGCATCTCTGTTCATCTGGGTAAGACTGTGAGGAAAGGCTGAAATAATTTGGGTTGTTTTGCCCGGAGAAGAGAAGCCTCTGGGGAAACCTCATTGCAGCCTTTCAGTACTTAAAAAGGGTCTGTAAGAAAGAGGGGGACAGACATTTAGTACAGGCTGTTGTGATAGGACAAGGAGTGAATTAAAGGAAGGCATTTTGTATGATGAGCATAGTGAGCCATGGGCACAGATTGCCCAGAGAGGTGGTGGATGGTCTGTTCCTGGAAACACGGAAGGTCAGGTGGGATGGGACTGTGAGCCATGTGATCTCATTGAAGATGTCCCTGCTTATTGCAGGGTAGTTGGACTAGATGGCCTTGAAATATCCTTTCCAGTTCAAACTATGATTTCTGCTAGTTGGATTGCAAATAAATTTTATAATGGATGCCCAGAAATTGAAGAGCTCTTGGGCAGCAGATTTTTAAAAATTACTCATCTCAACAACATGCTTTATGCCACCAAATCTTTATTGAAAGGGAAAGGTAAAGTCTGATTTCCTTGACCTGAAGTTCTTTGCCTAGATCATAAGGCCTTTTATTCAGCATCTTCTCACTTCTGCATCAGACATGGCGGATGTAAAATGCTTATTCTTATGTTACTGTTACTCTGATTGATCTTTATAGCAGATCCTTCTTGTTTGCTGGCTGAAGCAAAGACTGCAGAAAAAAATTAAGGTTGTATGCAGGAAATGAATCACAATTTGTATACATAAACTGGCACATTAAATTTTGCCTTTCCTATTGTGCTGCCTTAAGTTGGTTTAAACACCTTTTTTTGGGTATAGTTTCTGCAAGATTTCTTTACTTGTAGAAAGGAAATACTCTACAGGTAGTATTATCCTGACATACTTGGATTGAAATCACGACCTGTGCTAATTTACAAGATTAGGCTGATGAGTAACATTGTCTGTCCTCTTGGGGCTACCATTGAAGGAGAAAATTAGTCTTGTGCCTATTTATGTACATCTGTAGAAGGAATTTGCTAATTTTGGACTCCATTTCATCTTTAGCAGGTAGTTGGCTCTGGTGTCCAGTCTTCCACCCCATTCTGTTCTGTCTGAATGCTCTTAATCTGTCCTGTGGATGGTGCATAAGCAATTTTATTAGTATTAGATGATTTATAATTTAGTCTTTGAAGTTGTCTTATGCTTCTGTCTACTGCGCTGACTCATCTGGACATTAATTCCTACTAATGAGAACTTCCATTCCTTCTAGAACCTTTGCATTTTCCATGTGTGTCCGTGTCTGACTTTTATCTATGCTGTTTAATTCATCTGGTTCCACACCTATCTGAAACAAAGTAATTCAGAAACAGAATGATCCATAATAGAGGAGATAATGCCAGCACTCTTTGTTGAGTACTTAATAGTGCAGACTTGGATCCATTATTTTGTGTATTTGTTTGTTGTATTTTATATCAGGTTAAAACACAGACGAACAGTGCTTTGACTGTCAGATCTCATCAAGACGTACGGCTGTCCTGTCTGGCCTACACTAGTCTATATTATTGTGATATTTTAGTTTTGTAGTTTGCAGCTTTGATAGTTACTTTTTTACACTCATTGCAGCTTCATACTAGTACTAAACTTGTAGAGCACATCACGGCAGATTACTCTGAAGGATAAATTAACTATCATTACAGTTTGAAAATAAATATGATTGTTATGTTTTACTGAACTATGATCCACTTGAAGTGCTGTAGTTTAGATAATTAGGCTTGTAATCAATTTCTTTTAAAGTTCCACAATTAACTGTTTTTTTTTTTTAAACTCTGGACTACTGCTTAGAACATTCTTATTGATACAGATGTGCTTACAACTTGAGAATTGCATAAATTGCTGAATGTTTACCAAAGGTTTTAAATGTAATCTGGGAAATTAATCTAATTAATTATTTCAGTATATTGATGCAAAGTTGGGCAAGTGAGCATTTTAGATTCTTAACCAGATCTTGTTTACCTGGTGATGGCTTTGGCAAACACAAACAGGTTTATTGCTGTTGGAAGGGTGGTCTAGAAGCAGATGTCCTCTGCAATATGGGCCAGTAGCTCTTTTGTACACAAAGGTAAACAGTCACTTAAACGTGGTATTCTTTAGAGTCCTACTTGCAATATTAAGCGTTTTGGCTGCTCTTGTATAGCTAGGTAACAAATAAACATGCATGAGAGCAGTGGTTAACGAAACTAACCTCAGCTGTCCATACTGTTAGGTCGGTGGAGTTCTGTACAAACTAATTGGCTTTTACCAGGTAGAATATTTAATTCAGCGTGACTTGAGCAAAGATTAAAAGTCCTGAGTATGTGGACTCACCTTGAAACTACAGCCAGACATGAAGTGTGTCAGGATTGATGTAGCAGCTTTTTGCAGAATGTGATACTGATGGGCATGACTGAATTGTGGGAAAAAAGAGTGCTTTGTTGATGTATAGGGTTTTTTTTTAATCAATATAGTTTACTCCTGTTCTCAAAAGGGTAGGCCAGAATTAGAAGTGGTTAAATAGACTGTACCACTTTGACAAATCACCCTGTATCACTGGGATTCTCTACCATCTGTTTGTTATGTGTCATGCTATTTTTCATGTACCACCCCATTGAGGATACTGCAGTTTCCTTAAATTTTTTTAAGAGCTAACGTTTGTGGTCTGCTTCTGTCTCTACTGTCCTGAGGAGGAAGAAACTAGCTGTCTTGAGTTTTAGGTAAACATTAAGTCAGATCCCGTTTCAAGGGCAGGGATGAGTATAGGAGCACATCTCATGTGGAAAAGCCACCAACATTTCTTTTGAAGTGCCTAGAAAGAGCAGAAGGCACATAAACACTCAGCAAGTGAGAAGTCAGTTTATGAATGCACTTGTGAGATAACCTGTGCTCCTTTGCCTATGTTAGTTTCCCTGGGAGCTGTCTTTGTAGAAGTTGAAGGCAGATAGATGCAGATGTATTTTTTCACAGAAGGGTGAAGTTTCATAATTTCAACCCTGAGGAATAAATCTGAATATAATTTCTGCAAGTGTTGAGATGCAGTTCATTAGCAAAAATGTAATATATTAATTTGAGAAATCTGAGTAATCTGTTCCTGACTCATTTTGCGTTAATATGAGTGCTGTGTGGTTCTTAAGGGAGTACCTCTTACACTTAAAATTGCAAGAATATATCGTAACCAAATCATAAAAGGGACTGTAGTTTTCTAATGAGGGATGGGAGGAGATGTAAAGAAGAGGCTACAAAAACTAGGATAAGAACTTGTTTCCCCATTTTGCTGATGCAGTCAGACCAAAGCACTGTGTAAATATTTGTATGTGTGAGTCATATTTATGTTACATCCAGAATGACCTGTGCCTATTTTGCATGAGTTCCCTGCTTCCATGAGAAAAAAATGATCAGTATGTCCTTGTACAGGATACAAAGGATGGAGTCAAAACCCTCAAGAATTCCTCGCAGGATATCTCTTCAGCCTTCCAGCTCTCCTGTAGGATCTAGAACTGGAAACAGTTTATCTGGTGCATATAGTACAAGAGAATCTTCATGGGGATTAGAATCTGGATACCAGGTAATGTATTTTTTTTTCCTTTTTATAAAGTATCAATAATTTTAAAAGTGTCTTTTTTAACCAAGAAAAGCCCCAAAACTTAGACAAAAAAAATTTCTAAAATGCAAGAATGTACTAACCAGGCCAGTGACAGTAATCAGTGAACTGGTAGTTCTAGATTTTCTGCTTTTACCCGCTCTTGTTTGTAGCTGCACCTTTAGAAATCAGCTGTTTAATGAATGAGAGGGCATTCTGATAATATGGATCTATTTTCTTATGAACCACTGCCATCCTAAATCTGGGTAAATGGAGTTTTTTGTTGAGGGAGATGTAAGGGTTTTGTTTGAACTTTGATGCGTGTAGGGCATTACACCTGATGTGTTGGTGACGCAAAAAGTACAGTATGTTGTCAGTTAACAAGGCTATACTGTTCTGCAGCACCTCCTGTGTTTATATTTTGAAAAGGTGAGAAGATGAGCTTTAGACTCTGTTGTGGTTTGACACCGGTCAAATGCCAGGCACCCACAACAGTTGCTCACTCACTCTCCCCTGCTACAGCTGGGCAGAGGAGGGAAAAACTTAATGAAGGGTTCATGAGTTGAGATAAGGACTGTGACAAAACACTCCAAGGGCAAAACAGCCTTAACTTAAAGGTACAAAGTTAATTTATTACTAACAAAATCAGAGGAGGATAATAAGAAGTAAAATAATCCCTGAAAACCACCTTTGCTTCTCCCAGCCCCTCCCTCCTTCCCAGTGACAGTGCATGGAGACAGGGCATGGGGATTTTGGTCAGTTCCTCACCCGAGGTTTTCTTCCACTTGGCTCAGGGTCCAGAGTCCTTCCCCTGTGAGGCCGAGGGGTCCCTCCCATGGGAGACAGTTCTCTCTGAACTTCTCCATCATGGGTCCATTCTCATGAGCAGCAGTCCTCCCAAAACTGCTGTGGCGTGGCTCACTCTTCCACAGGATGAAGGCCTCCAAGGACAGGCTGCTGCAGCCTGGGAGCAGGGGCCCTCTATCTCCATCGGGTCTGCCACTGAATCACAGCCTTCTCCAGGAATTCACCTGCTCCAGTGTGAGCACCTCCCCTATGGGCTGCGAGCGGATCTCTGCATTCCCAGTGGACCTGTGGGCTGCAGGAGGACAACCTGCTTCACCATGGTCTTCGCCACAGCCTGCAGAGGAATCTTGGTTCTGGTGCACCTCCTCCCCCTCCTTCTCCACTGACCTTGGTGTCACTGTGTTGTTTTCCCTCACATGTTCTCACCTTCTAATCTGTTGTGGCTGAAATTGAAACTGCATCCCTTCTTTTATTTTGATTTCTGAAATCTGTCATCACAAGAGGTGTTACTACCATCTCTAATTGGCCTAGCCTTGACCAGCAGCCTGTCCATCTTCAGAGCCATCAGGGATTTGCTCTGCCGAGCATAGTTGAAGCTTCCAGCAGCTAATTACAGAAGCCACCTCTCTGGCTCCCAAGGTTTTTGGCAGCTACCAAAAGCCACACTGCGCAAAACCAACAGAGACTCACATTAGCCTGTCATGCCAGTTTGTTAGTACAGCTGGGCTTTCTGTGCACTGCATGGGACTTAAAAAAGGCCTTTTGCCATTTCACAAGCAGCATTTTATACTAACCAAACTACTTTTGTGGGGAAGGGTAGCTGTTCTCAAGAGGATGGGAAGCAGAGATAAAACTACTGTAGAAATTATTTTTGATACTTGGAAGCAACAGATAGCAGTTTCGCTCAATTATCTTAGTACTTTTTTTGTGCTCCTGTCAGCAGTTCTCACCTCAGTTTTGGGCCCAGAAATGTAAGCCCATTTTGGTCTTTGAAATTGCAGGAACTTAACTCTGTGATTAAATGTTCATATTTTAAAAAAATGGTTAGGAGTTTGGTCCCTGCTGGCAAGCTATCTGGGACATTGTATTACATAATGCCTTTTTGAGAAACACTTTTACAAGTAGTAGAACATTATTTTTAGCACAATTAATTGTGTGTGTTACATTTTTGTTATCCTCAACATGCATGTGCTTGTTGTTATATAGGCTACAATATATAGGCTGAATGTACAAGGGGAAGCAGTTGTCAGTAATTTTTGTATTTTGGAGTCCTGCATGTTTTTTGCTGTCTGGCTGCTCAGCAAAAGCAAATTGAACAATCTTACTCTTTTGTAGAGATATGTGGATACAGTCCACACAGTGTACGTATACTGAAAGTCATTGATCAGAAGTCTTCAGCTGAACTGGTGCTGTTAAAAGATTTTGACACAACATATCTTTAATTATTTCATTTATTACATGAATTGCAATGTGTTCACTGCACTGTGTATTCTTTTGACTATTTCCTGTTGAGCAAAGTGATTCTGAGCTGAAGAATGATCTCATAACACTTGCCAGTTAAAACAGCAGGGAAAATATTTGTATAAAAGATTATGTTGTATCCCTTTTTTCCACTCCCAGTTTGTAGAAGGTAGTCTGAGAACTCATTACACAACACTGGTGCTTAGTGATAAAACTGTAGGAAGCTCCTTCTCTTGACTAACCTTTGGTATTTACAGAGCTGGAAGGAACAAATTGCCTTATCGCTGGCAGGTTAAGATTACAGAGCAAGAAAGTTTAAGTCCAGTCAGATAGGAATACAAAGGACAGGCATTTTCACTTTGTTAATCCATTAAGAAATCTACCATAAAATATTTAAGATCTAGTTCAGTTACAAATAATTAAACATTTGTCATTTAGAAGAAAAACTTGGACTATCAGTAATTCTTTAGGTATAAGGAGGACTTGGATTTTTAATACAGAATTTCTATAGAGAGAACACTTGATTATAAGTTAACTCAAAAACTTCTGGGACAGATCAGTGAAATTTATATTTGGTTTTGATTAGGGCTAGCAAATATGAAAGGTTTCTATTGGATGGGTTTGTTGTTTTGTTGGTTTTTTTTTTTCATGTACATATGGAATTGTACGTCACGCACTTTTGAGATCAATCTGGGTACTAGCCCCTGCTTATCTGAGGAGGCATAATGAAGAGGTTAATTGGAAACTAATCAGATGTATGGGATATAGTGTTGTTGCCAGGTAACTTTAAAATAAAAAAATCGAATTAGTGTCACTGTATGAGAAAGAAAATCATATCCTTTATGATTCAACATAGTAAACATTTTATGACAAATGAATTATAAGTTTTTTTTTTTTTTTTTTGCAGTGGAAGTTAATCAAGAGCAGTTAATAAAATTGTTTTCCTGATAACATTTTTCAGCTGCTGAAAACACACACCATAGCCAGAATACCTTATGTAGAGCTTTAATTGTTAAATTCTGACAAGGGATTTTAAATAATCTGAAGCTGAAATGAAGGAAGAAAACAAGCTGAGATTTTTGTATTGTTTTGGTTTGGCTTTGAATGCTTGGTTGTTGCTTTTAAGAAATGGTGACAGCAACTACTCTGTTTGTAGTACTCATAGTTCATAGAAGGAGAATGGACAAATAATCACTCAAAAATGCTACTTAGTCTTAATAAAATTATTGCATTTCTGTTATTCCTATTAATTTTGCTAATCTCCATTATTATTCTTTGGAGCAAATGAAATTGCAGTCTCTTTCCTCAGTTATAACCTATTCATTGAAATTCAGCTTGTTTTAGTGGCCATAGAGGTGCTTTTGTTGTCATAGAGACCCTTTCTACACCTGTGGGGTTTTTTGCATAGCACTTGAAAATCAGGCCCTTAATTCTGCTCTGTTGCTGCAGTACCTAAGTCAGGCCCAATGCCTCTGAAGCCTTACATTTTGACTTTTTATTGTCCTAGTTCAAAACAGAGGACAGATGAAGGAGCTGCTATAAAGCACTTAAAAAAACGGAATAACAAAACTTCCCTTTTGCCAGTGGTTCTCTCTAAGCCTGTTTCATTTCTTGGCTGTCCCTCAAGGTTTCTTAATAAATGTTCCCAGATTTGTTACTGCATCCACTTCCCTGTATTTTCAATGCTCAGATCAGATACTGAGTTATTTTTAAGTTACAAGATGCATATGATAATCACGTTGTTCTTCAGGAATCCGGTGTATTGAATAGTTCCAGTAGAGACTGGAGAATTGGAGAGAGGGACACCCGTGAAACTCCTTGGAAGCTTACAGCGTCATCTCCAACGCGCTACTCAGGGACACTTGATCACCCTCATTCTGGAAGATTTTTGGGAAGCAGAGGCAGATTGGTGAGAACTGTTAATGTGTGATAATTGGGAAAAAAGATTGAAACCCCAGAGTTTTACTTTAGTCTTCCCAATCTGAAAAGCTGCCTGCAGGGGCTCTCTGTAATGTTTTTAGATAAGTAGATCTTACTAATTCAAGTTGGAGCAAAAACTAGAAGATAGCAGTGTTTAAAAACATTCAGAGGGTGAAAATAGTGATTAGTATATTAGTTTTACTAAGAGTTAAGAAATACATTTAAAGTCAGTAGCTTTGTAAAAGTCCATTTAAAAAGAAAAAAGGAGGGGGTGATTAGAATCTCAGACAAGTTATGGACCTGTGGATGGCAAAGTTCATATTACTTACACTTGCTCCCTCAGGTATTTCCCGGGGTGGGGGTGTGTTTCTTGGGTGGTGCTAGCTTTGTGAGTTAACACAAAGTTCATGGGTTTGGAGACCTACTTTAGGACATTTACTTGCAAGGTGTAGTTCATAGTCTGATTGTTCTTACTTACAAGCAAAAGAATGGTTACTTGAGATTCAAGACTCAGGCCCTGAGAGTTTGTCTTAACTGGGTTCTGCAATGTGCCGTGGTTACTCCCAAGAATAAAGTAGTTTGCTTGTGGCATGCTTATGCATTGTAGAGTGACAGAAGAATACTTTAAAGCACGGTAGAAATATTAAGATAAGAAAAGCAGAAAACTGTGAACAAGTTTGGCGGGACGATACTGAAATAAAAATTCTACTAGCTTTCAAAGGGAAAGATGTTTGGGCTCGCATCATTAAAGAGGTGTTGGTTTTCTTAGGTGAGTCAAAGGTGAAGACACTGAGATATTGGAGGGTGGGGAGGGAGGAACTAGTGTGCATGTGTTGGTCTTCAGGGGAGGTCATGATAGATGTCTACCTGTAGTTTAAATGCAAATGGAATCTGTGCTTCTAAGTGGTCTACATATCTAGTTAAATTAGTGCTATGGTTTTAAAGGTAAAAAACCTTTTTTCCCTGATTAAAGTTGATTATTCTCTAGAAGTAAATTCTAATGCAAGTGAACCTTGCAGAAGATACTCTGAAAATTCCACATATCAAGTAGTAAAGTATTAAAATAAAAGTGATATGTTAAATAGAAGATTAGTAAGGGAAAGTATTCTGGCTTTGTACTTGGTTTCTGAATTGGTTGGTTTGTTTCCCTGTTTTTTTATGGTGAGATGAGGGAAATACTTAAAAGTCTTCTTAGTGTGAAAGAGTAAGAAGTTGTGGCTTAAACTTAGTAAAAACCATAACTAAGTAGAAATAAACCACAGATATTATGTACTCTAATTTGGTTGATCTTTAAAGGATCTTGGTTGTGGATAGTTTCTGGGAAGACAAACAGCTCAATTCAGCTTTTTGATTGAGCTTATTTTTTTCTTTTTTATATGAAAAAAAATAAACCTGAAGTATTTAAAATAGAAGATGAATGCCTTAACTGTAAGTGACCAGATGAACAGCTTTGTAGGCAATTCCAAGCTTTTTTTCCTAGGTCCTATTGTGCTAATTTTTGAAAACTGTTTTATTTCGGTGCTGTACACTGCAAAAGTTGCTTTATACATGTTCTTTACTCTGAAGTCCTTCAGTTGTGCTTGAGCTTGTTGTAATCAAAATATACTTGTTTCAAACAATTTTCCTGAAGCTCACTCCTTCGCTAATTATATTTTAGGTTGATAAAAAGTAAGTTTTGGCCATTTCTGGACAGCAAGATATGTTCCCTTGGGGATCTGTAAAGCTGTATTTGATTGTGTTTATAGCATCTTACAGGCCAGGGATATAATTTTTCCCCCTTTTTGCAGCAATTTTTTGTGGTAAGCCACATCTATCTGGAAAGGAAATAAAATGTTGAATGTTACAGAAACTGAGTTTTGTTGGTAGGACTGTATTGAGTAAACCTAGAAATACTAATCAAGAGCACAAGCATAAGTCCTACTTTATTTTTAAAGAAAAGGTTTTGTATCTGAAGCTATTCTTTACAATGTTTGTGAGTTTTACCTTATGTACACTTTTGTGGAGTGCAAGTGCATCTGATGTACTATGTAATTTATTTTTTAATGTTATTTCAGTCTACATCTTCCTCTCATTTCACATCTGGATCTTATGGTGAGTCTGAGAGAACTCAGGGAGCGTGGGACATGGGAGCATGTCCAAGATTGCATAGCCAGCAGCAAGATAGTGATTCAAAGAGACCTAAACTATCTTGTACATCTACCTCTTCTGTGAGAAGTAATGGCTTGGCTGCCTTTTCAGGTGAGTGGTTGATTCCTTGAGCTGAGTTACATCAAAATTGTCTAAGCAGTAAGATGAGGTTTTACCAAGTTTTAAAAGACTTGCTTTAAATATTATGCCTTTATCTTTCTTAATGGGTGAAAATTTATGCATGTCTGAAAAGTATGTTCACAATGATAACAGTGTCCAAAGTTCCGAGTATGATGTTTACATGGTCTTTTGAAAGTCCAGTTGTACTCATACCATTTCAGAATTATTACCTGTACTTATTCCATTTGTGGTCAGGCTGAACTTCATAGCTCAAACATACCTTCATTGGTTAGGATGTCAAGAAAAGAATGAGTGCAGCTGCTCTTATTTCATGAGTCAGATAGTGCTGATACATCAATGTGTGCCAGGGACAGCAGAAAGGAAATCTTTACCATACTTAGCAATATGTTCAAGCACTGCATCATGGCTTGTTAGAGCACTGTCGTTAGGGGTCGGGGAAGAAAGGGTTCCTTTTTTAGCAGGGCCTGAACTCATTCTCTAGGAGCTCTTTCAGGAAAACCTGAGATTTTCATTGAAGCTGTGGGTAAGTTCATGAAACTTGGATAGACAGAATTTATGCAATATGCCAGCAGAAGTCTAAAGCTCAGGAAGTAACAGCCAAAACCTTATGCTAAAAATATTTCTAAACCATTTTGATAAAGATCATTAAATTAATTCAGATTACCCTTGTGAGTATGGATTAATGGTTTTTTTTAATAAACCTTATGGAATTGCATAGATATCCAAATAAAAATTAATAAATTCCTGCTCAAACCTCAGTATTATTGATACTTTCTTACTCTGTTAATAAAACGACAACCATTAACATTTCTCATGGTGTAGGACTGTTTATCTTTCCATTTCTATGTTGGTTGGTTGTCACACTGCCGACCAATGAGTGCTTAAATTTCTTTTTCTAAGTTAGCAATGAAGTGATATCAAGGTGAATTTTTCAGAGCTGTTGAAGACTCTTTTGGAACTAGAGTTTTGTCCCCAGCTGATGTATATACAGCTTGCTATGCAGTTGTTGGAGCTGTTAACAAAAACCAAGACCCATTTTTACGCTGAGGTGTTTTACTCTGTAATATGAACAAGGAGAGTGCTAGTCATTGTTCTTGAAGTTGTGTCTAAACTGCATTTAAGCTTCATCAGCTGTTTTTATGAGAAATGAAATTTCATTTAAGTAATGTCAAGTAGAATGGCAGTATTTGCTAAGTCTTAAGCTGCTGTTTTGCTATAATGTGAAACCTTTTTAAAAACTAGCCACCATTAGGAAGCAAGATGCTACTTCTCTTCCTCTTGTATCTTGTAATAGTGTTAATGGGTCTGACTCTTCACAAAAGTATTACTACTTTTTAGCTTTCAGAGCCATCTTTCTGCAAGATGAAGTAAGTGCCTGCAGCAGCAGAGTGCACTTAGCTTTATGTTGGCAGCTGGGTCCTTGGTCAGCGTAGTGGCAATGTTAAACTTGCCCTTGATATGAATAGCGAAAATGTCTGTATAAGTGCCAGTTTTAATGGATTTTTAGATGATTACAAAAACAGGGGATTTATTTACTTTTTCTGTCTAGATTCCTCCTGGAGATGCAGTAGGATTCCTAGATCTTCATCAGTAATGCTTGGCTCCCTTGGAAGTGATCTGGTTAGAGAGCGAACACCGTTAGAAAGAAGAACAGATCTGTCTGTTAATAACCTGCTGGATCCCAGCTATGGAAACAGTGACTTTTCACCTTCGACATGTATGTTTCGTGTAACTGAAAGCTCATAAACCTACAGTTTGTATGGCTTTTAGTACCTTAACATGTTCATAGGATCACAGAATGATTTGGTTTGGAAGGCACCTTTTGTTCCACCTCCTGCAATGGGCAGGGACACTTTCACTATCCCAGATTGCTTAAAGCCTCATCCAGTGTGGTCTTGAACACTTCCAGGGATGGAGCATCCAAAACTTCGCTGGGCATGTTTTTTTAACATTTTATTCAAAACACAAACACAAAATAGATTTTAAAGTATCCTTTTAAATAAAATTGGTTGGCCACTTCCCATGTGTTGACCAAACCATTGAAGGATATATGTATGGTCTAGCTTGTAGATGCATTGTGGTGTTGATGATTGCCACTGTAACTCTGGGATTGCTCAGTAAAGCTCATTTCTTATTTGTCTTAAAATCTCTTTGCATTTAGGTATGTGAAGAGAAATAATGTTGATTTGACCTAGGGAACTTTTTTCTTAAAGGTGCATATTATCTCTTTTTGTTTGGGTTCTCAAATGGTTATTAGGGAAAACTGTTAGGACACTGAGAATAAAAATGAATAAACGCACACTTGACATGAGAGGTTTGTCTCGTGGCAACTGCTAGGACTAGTAAGGACTTCAGCAGTGTAGTTTTCACTTTCTATTCAGAGTGCTGTGATGTTCTAGAGCTGTGTCAGGGGAAGCTCACCATTAGTTTTGATCTGCAACCTTTTGCAGATGCATTAGTTGTATTTTGTAATGCAGAAGTTAAAGAAAATGCCACGTTTCTAAGTATAGAAGATAAGCAGAAAAGCTAAAAACTACTTTCAGCATTTGTCCTGGAGTCTTGCCTTGACAGAAGAGTATATTTTAATGTCATTATACTCGTAGCACTTTTTAGTAAGTGGACAGTTCAGCTACTCTACCTGATAGAGCCTTATGGGAGAAGTGGACTGGAGAGCAGCCTTGCTTTGTACTGTCTATGCTGCATTTCTAGCAGTAGTGGTCCTATTAAGTGCTATTAAAAAACTCCCAGCTGTGTTCCCTGATGTGTAATCAAAAGCATATGGTAGATGATTGGCATCTGTGCAGATCCTTCATTAGCTGGAATCTGCCAGATAAATAAAGCTCATCTTGAGCAGTAAATTGTGATTGCAATGCAGAACCCATTAAAAGAAAGTCACCAAAACTGCAAAGATGAAAGTTTTAAAATTGAGACTACATAGAGAGCTTCTGTTTCCTACCTTCATCTGTCCATGCTTGTTTCTTCTTCCCCCTTTTCCCGCCCACAACGACCCAGTGCAGCTATTTGAGGAAGGGCACTAGCCACCTCAGCTACTTTATGTGAACTATGGTTCATCTACAGTGGAGTTCTTCTCAGTGTGTTGAGATACTCAGACAGCATTTACAGAAGATGTTCTTGTTAGAATGATAGAATGGTATGGGTTGGAAGGGACCTTTAAAGTCCCCTGGTCCAATCCCCCTGCAGTGAGCATGGACATCTTCATTTAGGACAGGTTGCCTAGAGCCCTGTTGAACCTAACCTTGAATGTTTCCTGATGTGTATGTGCGCATCATCATAGTATTTTCCTTTGCTTTTCTGCAACAGATCTTCAAGACAGGCCTGCCTCTTCATATGCAGAGGGAGCAAGACCAAAAGAAAACTCCTTAAGCACTTTGAGGCTGAATGCACCCATGAACCGCCAGTTGCCTTCTGATCATCAGCCATCTTTTTTCAACAGAGACTCTAACGTGAGCTCTTCAAGATCCAGCTATTCTTTAAGACAAAGGAGAAATGAATTGGAATCTCCCCAGAGGAGTGTGCAGCCAGCATTTTCTCTTAGTGCCGTTAGAGATGAAACCCCTTCCTCAAGTGGTTCCGAAAGGATTTTATCTTCTCAGAGGTCATTGAATGAGTCTGCAGCTGACAGTGAAGGGAGGCGCACAACCAGACAGCTGCTGTCTCGTTTAGCATCTAGTATGTCATCCACATTTTTCTCTCGGAGGTCTAGCCAAGACCCATTGCATACAAGATCGTTAGGCCCTGAAGAGTCAACAGCGGTCCCAAGAGTTCAAGCTACTGCTCTGTCAAGTAGTAATGGAGCTGCAACTCCGGGGGTTCCAGGACTTCAGTCATCTGAAACTTCTCAGGGGTTCAGTTTTCTTGGACGAAGGTGGGGTTTATCAGGAGTTTCACAGAATCGCAGCTCTGATTCTGATGGGGAAAGTTACAGACCAGACACTGAAAGTAGGAGCACAGGATCCTGGTTGTCGTCCTCTTTGAGGAACAGATGTACACCTCTCTTTTCCAGAAGAAGAAGAGAAGGAAGAGATGAATCTGCAAGGATCTCTACCCCTGATTCAACTGCTAGATCACAACATGTCTTTAGAAGGAGAGAGTCAGGTGAGGACACCTCTCTTGAAGCATCAGATAGCCCTCCTCGGTCTTCTGTGAGCAGACCAACGCCTGCAGTATCTGTTATTTCTACAGCTACTGCCTCCCTACCAGATTCAGCCTCCAGTGGAAGAGGTTCAGGAATTCTGCCTGCTTCTCTCTTTCGCTTTGCAGTGCCTCCAACATTAGGAAGCAGTCTGTCTGACAATCTTATGATAACTGTAGATATTATTCCCTCTGGCTGGAATCAGTCTGATGGACAAGAAAGTGGCAAGTCTAAAATACCACCTTCAAGAGATCCAGAAAGACTCCAGAAAATAAAGGAAAGGTAAGTTAGTATGTTCTTTTGGAACAGTAAAATGTACCTGTTCTAATCTGAGAGGGCTTTCTGCAATCATGATTTTAAAAGAAAACTTTCTTGTAGAGGAGGTGGCAACTCAGTTGTATTCTCACTTTTGTCTTTGAAGAAGTTTGTTTTAATTCTCATGCATTTGAGAACAGTTTGATAAGTGGAATTCTGAAAAAGTCTTTCTTCAAAAAGTCCTACGTGAAATGTCACAGCGTTTGTTGGTATTCCATCCTATTCAGCCTGCTTTTAGAAGATTCTGAAGATGAAGAGGGTGACATATGCAGAATTTGTCAGATGTCCTCTTCAAGTTCTGACAACCTTTTAATAGAGCCATGCAAATGCACTGGAAGTCTGCAGTATGTTCACCAGGAGTGCATGAAAAAATGGCTGCAGTCGAAGATAAATTCAGGTAAAGCAAACTCTAGGCCAAGGTAGACTTCCAGTTATACCGGGAGGCTTATTGGAAGAATTGCACCTACTGGGGTATTTAGTCGAATAGCGAGCAGTAGGGACAAACTGCTACTGCTACAAAAAGTAGTATGGCACTTCCAGGCTTTTTGTGTTCTGTGCGGCTTCTCATGTGAGTAGTTGCAAGAACTGTATTTTTTGTTTAGAGAACTGCATTTTTTGGGGTTGTCTACTAAGATATTGAACAAAAGATAATGTTGCAGAAGTGTAGCTTTAGAATTACTCTGTCACTTCAGTGGTACCACTTTGAGTGGCATTTGTTCCCCACCCTTCCTTATGGAAATGGTTGTGCTTTTTTCCAAGACTTCTATAGCTGAGCTAACTGTTAGCAGTGATAGGAATTTGAAAATCCAGAAATTATTTTGAATTGTAACTGAAGTATGTTAATTTTTTCTTAAAGATACTAACTCCCATTCAAGGCACTTTAAAAATGCTTGTTCAAAAATTACTTAAATTGCATATATAATTCTTTAAGAAACATTTCAAATATTGCATGCTGTAGAAATATTTTTGTAACAGACTGATTGACTGGTTTGTAACTGTTACCTGCAGTATTCTTCAAAGTAGGTGGCTTGATAGAATACATGAAATACTTTATACCAAAGGAAGGTGCTAGTATCTGACCTTTTTGCTCAGCACCAGAGATCAGTAAAGGGATGTTTTAGAAGCCTCAGCTTGTAGAAGAAAAATAATTTGAATTATTTAGCTATATAGGAAGACATAAGTCCGCTATCAACTTGCTTTGTTCATCTTGTTGCTTGTGGAGGAGTCTGTTTTAAAACTGGTACTTAAGACAAAATTTTATTTAAAAATAACTTTGTTGTGGTGTATTTATTCTTACTTTTGTGTGTATTTGAATTACACAGTAAAATTCAGAAAGCCCAAGAAGCGATTTTATGCCATACTTGCAGGAAGAAGCATATTAATTCCCAGTGTGAATGTGAGGCAAAATAGGTGCAGCTGGATAGAGAATAAACATTCTACAGCGTTTAAATTCTGACAGTAGCAGATGTCCCTACATTCCTATTAGAGGCTTGCTTTTCTTCTAACCTTGCTCTGCAAAATAAAGTCAAAAATTACGTAGAGTTTTTAATGTTTATATGAGTGTGTTGTATGTTATAGACTGTTGAAACTTGACACTGAGTTTTCCCCTTGCCCACCACCCCACCAGGTTCTTCTTTGGAAGCAGTGACAACTTGTGAATTGTGCAAAGAGAAGTTGCATCTCAATCTGGAAGACTTTGACATTCATGAACTTTATAGGGCACATGCAAATGAACAAGTTAGTATATTTTACCTTATTTGGTAAGTGTTGCTTTAGTGCTGGGAGGGCAGTCTTTAGAGAAGCCAAATGCATCTCCATTTCAGAAGGGCTGTTATGCATATAAAGTAATGTTAATGTCGAACAGATTTTTCTCTTCAATATTCCAACTACCACTACCTTCCTGCTATGCTTTCTACAGCTGAGCTTTCAGTAAGTGTAACATATCTCTTTCCTTAGTTGCATATCTGTCATCTAACTTTGTAATCCAGTGTCTGTGCCACATAGGTGCAGTGTGAATTCTAGCATGATTATATTGAATTTCATAGTCAGGCATTGTTGTCACTTTTAGCTGTTTTTGAACACAGTTTAGCAGTTGTTTTAAACATACAATTACAAATTTCTTTTATTTCATTAGAGTGGTAGAAACTAACCTCTGTTCTAGTAGTTTCTAACTGCTCCTTCAAATAATTTCCTGACTTAAAAATAATCAAAGGCCCCTGGTATATATTTAAAATAGAATATCTTTGACCCACTGGATTGTGTAGTATTTAAAAAAGAGTAAATAACACAAAGCTGGTGTATTTAATGAACTTTATTCAGAGGGGTTTTCGCTATTCTCTGGGTTGTAATCTGACAATATATGAAGATTAATGCTATTAGCTTACCTCAAATATTTAAAGAAAATACCAAGTTGTAAGAATCCGTGCCAAGTGACATCAATTTTGGGGCAAAACATGAGCCTCTAATTTTTTTATTATTTAAAGTAAGTTCTTACCCTAGTACTTGAATTCCTATCAATCGAGGAAGTTTCTGAAAAGTTTTTCTCAAGACATCTTGTTTTAGTGCTAGTGCTTATTGGTTGCTGTCACTGCACTTTAATAGAAATAAGAACTTTGAATTTTTTTCCTAAAGAATTGACTAAATTATCTGTTCAGCAGTAGCATTTTTAAAATTTTTCTTTTATCTTAGCAGGTAAAGGAATTTCTCAAATATTTATAACATCATAACATTCTTAAAATATATTCCTTTATTTTGGCTTTCTGTAAAGCCTTGAGACCAGAGAGAAGAAACCAGCAATCCTGGTTTGATTTCCCCAAGTGATATAATACTCTGATTCGCACATTCTTTCCTCTGAGCTAATCAGGCTGACAGATCTAATTTGTAGAACTCTATTTATCTTCAAGGATAACATGTTAGATTTGGGGTGGATGGGAAGGACCAGAGGTATAAATAGCTTTTCAGCAACTTAAATTTTTTAGTATTACATTTTCCTAATTCTTTCTAACAACTAGAGATAACTCTGTAAGATAAGATGTATTACTGACATTCTGAATGTTTCTTTTGATCTCCTTTAAGGCAGACTATGAATTTATCAGCTCTGGTCTCTACCTTGTAGTGTTGTTACACTTATGCGAGCAGCGCTTTTCTGATATGTTAGGAACTGCAAATGAGGCCAGCACACGTGTCAGAGTAAGTATGCAGTGATTTTCTGGCAGGAATTACTCATACAGAGAATTTGGAAGCAGATTGTTACGTTAAGTGACCTAGGAGCTAGATACCCAAGAAACACACTTTTAAAACAAATTTAGGTTTAAAATGGGCTGTGCTTGTCAGTGTGCTGTGTTTGATTGGAAGCTGAAGGTACTACATAATTGCAGGTACTCTGCTACAGAATACTTTCTGTCAAAGTTGTTGGTAATTCATTGGTTAGCACACATTTAGCACAGAGCATACAGTTAGCATACATGTTGTCGTGATTATTGTGAATTTATGCAAAACCTCTCTCTGTGCCAAACATGCAGTTAAGAATGCTGGACTACCTGATTTGTTTAATTTTTCTCATTATGCAAGTCTGTATTGCAAGGGACTAGAACTTGTGCTTGTCTAGTGCACTAGACTAGTGCTTGTTGGCCAGAGTACATCTAAATGTGTACTTGGATATTAACATTCTGCAACAGCCTATAGCTGTAGTGTGAGTTCTCTGGCATTAGTCCAAACCCTTTATTAGGTGTGTTTGACTGCATTCTCGTTGCTTGAAAGGTCCAGCTTAGGGACATGCTAAGTACACCTTTAACCAGTAAGAGATCAGCATACAGAGTTCTTTCTGCACAGTGATTCACTCATAAATCCAGTTTGCTACATGTTTATTTGATACTAGATAATTAATCAGTGCTCTTAGTCAACTGAGCTCCTGAAAAGCCAGTTATTTTTAGGGTTTTTTTCTTACAAAGGAGTGACAGTATTAACCTTTTCCTGTGCATATGGGAATGGTTGACTGCTAGCAGGTAGTGGATATTTGGAAGAGGCAGGACTGTGCTCTATCTAATCTTTTAATGTATTAGAGCATGCTCCTCTTTCCTCTACAGATCCAACATAGAGCTTGTATTCCATGCTCCAGTTTCTGTGCTGCAAGTATAGAGATATAAAAGACAGCTGATATAATTGTAGTCGGCATCCAGCACAGATCGTTAGCTTGAGTGTATTGCAGAATATGTTTTTACTGGTTTCCCATCAGAGGAGGCATTACATTCTTCTGTGTGTGACACTGCATTTTAAACTAGTGAGAGCATCAATGCTAGTATTTTATATCAAGCATATGAGTAAGCTGTGGAAACTCTTACCTGCTGTGTCTCACTATCTGGGCTTTTAACTGAAGCAGTGATGCAGATTGGCAGTGACGAAAACCACTTGGCTGAGACTTTTTAATCGTAGGAATTTTGGCTTTGGATTTTGATACCATGTGTTTCTTACATCAAACCACCACTGTGCCCAATAGTAATCATGCTCTTAAGATTTTAATTATAAACAAGAACTTAAGTGTATTTATGAATTTTTCCTGAACCACATTCATTTAGAGGGTTCTGTTTTGTCATATTAGTTGTGAATTATATGAAATGGATTTAACTAATGCAAGTCCTTACTGTGATTGTTTTCCTGCATCAGAGTTTATAGGAATGATTTTCATTGAACTGACACTTGTTTATGTTTGCTGCTTTCAAAATCGATGTGTTCTACAGAGTGTAGAACATGAAGATGCTGTCACAAGTTGCTACCACGAACATTTTGCAGCTGAAATAACTGTGTAATAGCAGTTTGAAGCCTAGTGTGTGGGGATTTATGTTAAATTTCACATTGTTTTTTGGAAGTTGGGCAAATGGGTTAGGTAACCAAGATCTGTCATGAAGCTTTGGGATGTAAAAAGTGAAGAAAAATTTGCTAACTTGTTGCAAATTTCTGCAGATAACTTTGCAACTTTTAAACTACTTTCTCTCTGCCTTGTTTCTAGTTTATTAACCTTGCAAGAACTCTTCAGGCACATATGGAAGATATTGAAAGTAGGTGCTTCCCCTCTTTTCCTCCCCTCCCACTAGATCAACTCAAAGCTAATGAGTGCAATCCTCCTTGCCAAGATTCATAATACTGAACATGATTACTGAAAACCTTACTCAGCAGTGCTTTTTCCATCATCAGTAGAATTATTCTGAGGAGGAACCAATTTAATTCTCCATTATTAACTTCCCAACAGCACTGAGTTGTTTAGACCACGGTAGTGTTATCTGGAATCGGTAACAAAATTCCTTAGTAGTTACAGTTTGGTTATTGTAGTTCTGGTAATTCATAATTACAGGATAAATGGTGACCTTCAGGTTGCTGCCTTTTACAAGAGAAAGTAGGAAAAAAAGTAGTATGAAAGAAACATTTAGAATTGAATTTTACTAATTGAATTGAATTACTGTGTTTAAATTAGACACTTGTATTGCCAGTTTTCTTCTCTTTCTTTTTCTTGCCCTCTTCCCCCCTTTGTTTTTTCCATTCATACACACTTTTTGGTTGTGTGGGTTCCTTGATCAGATCTGTCAGACCTCTTGAATGAAGTCAGAAGGTTGCCAATTTTGGCAAACCAAAGGATTAGCCTACTTTTCATCTATTGGGTTTTTTTTTAATGTGTTTAAATTCAACACTATATGCTGATACATCTAAATTTCTGGTAAATGTACTCTGGATCTATTTCTGAGCATGTTGAATAGGCAGTAGAAGGGTAGTTGGTCTACCCTTTTTTTCGTAGTGTGCATGTGTCTGTCAACTTCATATGGGTTTTCAGTACACAGGATGCATTTGGAATACTATAAAGAAAGGGAGTGTGTGTGTGTGTGTGTGTGTGTGTGAAAGAGGGAGCTCTGGTTCAAGGTGATTATTTCTGCATTCAGAGCGGTCAAAAGTAGACTTGAGTTATGAATTCATTCCTAAGTTATGTGCATCCTTACTAGAGGAAAAAATAATGAGTGTCATTTAACTCCTTAGTTCAGTCTATATTTGATTCAGCCTTTAACTTGCAGGTGAGGAATACTGAGTTCTAGATTTATTATTGATGCGCTTCAGTTACATTTCTCTTCTAAGAGCTGAAGAAGCAAGGAGTCAGACTTTTCTTCTTTCTGTGTTCAGGGATGGAACATGTTACTCCACTATAAATACTTTCTTGTCTGCAGACCTGGCTTAAGAGGACACATTAAATTCCTGTTACAGAGAGGCTAGCATGTTACAAACCTAATGTAGATGTGTGCATGGGCTTTTCTACCATAGTTGACAAGTGTATATTTGTCTTTTGACTCACCTTGCAACGACAAATCCTGTGCATATGCGGGCGTTGTGTTCATCTTGCATATGCTGAAAGGACTGGAGTGGAGAGAGGAGCTTCTTCCAAGTAGGCCTAGGTTGCATTAAGATATATATATATAAAAAATGTAAGAGTCTGTTTACACTGCTGGATCATTCTAGGTATTTTAGTATCCAAATTGTTAACTTAGTTTTAACTTAGGTTGGGTGCTGCTGTCATGGATTGAGTATATCCTCCTCTGACTACTGCTGGAATTAGCCATGCTAAGCACTACATAAAAGTTGAATCTCTGGCTTAATTAAGTTTTCTCCCTCTTATTTTGAGGAAGGGGAGCAGGAGGACACAGCATATTGTATGTTCTGTTGAGTTTTGATTTGAAAATGCTGCATTTTTAGGACATGAGATGCATTTAAGAATTAAGTTATGTGATTACTCAAGATTTGGGTGGGTATTGCAATCTGCTATTTAATATTATAAAATCACTTATTTCTTCTATTCATCCTAAAGTGCTTTAATTTTTCACACATTTTTGTCAAGGCGTCTGATTCCACTGTGTTGTTCCAACAGCTTCTGAAGATGACTCTGAAGACTGATGCTGGTAGAACTTTCATACTGCAAGAAACAAACAGAATTGCTGCAGAAATGCTGAACTGGCAAGAACAACATCAACATGCATTTGTTTTATTCCTCTCCTTAGTAAAATGCGCATTGAATATTACTGTAGTTTTTGAAGCATTGTTGAATTCAAAATCAACTGCTGCACAGTGGAGCTCAGTAGACTTGAGAACTACTCAGCATGTGTGCGGATTAGATACATAGAAAGCAACTTCCCTTTTTAAATTATGAGGGTGTTGTACTTTGTTTTGGAAGACATCAGATTCTGAATATTTAAGGAAGTTCTATCTCCCTTTGTGTTTTCTACTTACTGTAGTCAGACTTCTGGCTTTGTCTAACCGAGTTTTGCTCCTGTACTGGCACTAAGTGGTTATAGGGGGTTTCAGGGGGAGGGTGGGGATGCCCGTGTACTTAAATAGGTTTTGTTAAGGTGTTCTTAAATGCCTCTTTTGCTGCATCATATAACTGATTGCTTCCATTGTTAATGAATGAACCGGAGGATAAGAAAGATACTGTAGAGATTGTTTGGATTTAGGCTTATATGAAGACTATTATTTAACTCAAAAAGCAATAAGAACTTGCAGTGGTCTTTTAATACTTGGTGATGGCTTTTTTATGTACCAGTTTGGAAATCTGAGATTATATTTGATATCATGTGGCTGTTCCATTATGGAATATTGCAGGTGTGAACTCTTGCATTTCAGCATTCCTGGCAGATATGCAACTTGATAAAGACCTAAGGTTGTTCAGTTTAATCAGACTTTTTTTAGATCCCACCTTCACTGTTCAAAGCACCGGTTATCAATGTGTTTTCTAGTGTTGTCACTTCTTTATAAATAAAGACAAAAGAGGTATGCATCTCTGCTGGTATTGTCCATTTCATTTAAATGTGGATATCTACCAGAACTTACACTTGAAAACATAGAAAGCTGGAGTCTGTGGGATATCTTCATTAATGTTTCTGAATTCTTACCCAGATATTTAAGATAGTTCTGACCATTTTGGATTGAAATGCTTTCTATAAAAGGTGGTACAATAAATTCTTAAACATGTATTGGAATTGTTTGTCCTACAGATACATGTTAGTTTTGTAATTACCTCAGTAAACAATGTGTTGGCAAAGAGTGCAGTATTTGTGCATGAGTTTAGTTTATTGTTGCAGTACGTAAAACTAACTTGTGCAGAGGAAAGGATGTGCCTTACTAGCTGAAATGAACTCGTGATTTGCAGAGTTACCTTTGCTAGCATTACATGAGTTGGGCTGTCATCTGTAAGACTTGAAAGAATGGAATGCTAAGGAAACTGCAGATTTCTATGCCCATTCTGGTAACTTTAGGCATTTGGTGCCAGCACTTACGAGTGTTATTCAGTAATTAGTTGAAATACAGCTCCGGGACATTAATCTGAAAAGTGAAGGTCCCCGCATATGTGAAGATTTTTCCTACTCATTTATGAAGAAGGTGAATTGAAGTTTATAAAAAGTGTTCAATCCTTGCTGAGGTAGATGGTACCGCTTAATAAAATGTCATACAGTGAAGCAGTCAGTATTTTATATGCACTCAATACATTTAGGGTTACAAGCATGGGTTCTGATACCCTAATAAATTGATGACTTGAAGGATATTTAAAAAAATTTTCCCTCAGTCTTTGTAACAAAACACCATTCCACGAAGGTGAGTGATGTAAGGAGCTCCACGTACAAATGCGGTTGAAGTGATATTGTGTTCAGTGCTCTACAGCCTTGTCGAGCTTCATTGCAAATGAAACGGTGACATGGGTGAATGCCCAGGTGAATTGGTGAAGAGTAGAGGGTCTGATTGCACCAGTTGGGAAGAGTGGTGCCACCAGACCCAGCTGCCTTCTCCGAGGAGGGCTGCCTTGCAGATGGGGGGAGCCTGGCAGCAGCCAGATTAGTTGTCATCTATGTAGCTGTGCTGTGAGATCTCTGTCTATGGGCACACCTGTCTGTGCAAGCTCTTGTGGGTCCATGCCAGCGGATTTTTGTTAGCACACCGCACGTGTGTCCATGCAGGTGTCTGTGCAAACATGCATTTTGTCTTGTCCGCACATGCACGCGCCCTGCTAGTTCCCAGGGTTTCAAGACATCGGGAATAACTGTGGCTGGTTGCTGGTTCCAGCAATTCATAGACATGCCTGATGGGAGCACGCTGCAGGATTGAGTGCCTCATCCCATCCTGGGGCCAGTGAAGAGCTGTGAGGCTGACAGGATGTTCAGTGCCACCGTGAGTATTCAGGGCTGTGGCTCCTGCAGAGCGCCTTGGTGCTCTGCCGGATGTGCTCCAAGTGTCCATCCTGGGCTCCTGTGTTGGGGGTGAGGAGGAGAGTATACTTTTCCACGTTACTGGAAATTCTGACTTCTGCTACTGTGCAGTAGTCTTTTGTTCTGTGCCACCCTCACCTGCCAGGGTGTTTGCACTGCAATGACCTGCCTTGTTTGAAATGTCCATCTTGTGCATTGATGCGTTCCTCCCAAACCTAAGCACGGGCTGGGCTCTTCTGCTTGTTAATGCTGCAGATAAGAAGGCTGTACATGTGCAGCACAGAGGATTATAGTAGGAGTCCTAGTGAAATATATGTATTGTATTTGTATAATTGTTAAAAGTAAAGGGGGAAATATTGTACTTGAATATCTGTATTGTATTTGAATATCTGTATATAGGCCTTGCCCTGATAAGCCCCGGTTGTTTTTGATGGGCTGCAACTTCGATGTCCTTAATTGGGCTGCAGCTGTAGCTAGTGAAGATAACTGGGATAAAAGGGGGTGGGCTTGGCCAGTCAGGGAGAGCCTGGAAGGAGCCCTGGCTAAGAAGCAGCAACAAGCAGAAGATGTCTGTACTATGAAGAACTGCCCCCAAGAAATATCACTGAGAAGGTACGAGACTTTAGAAATATGATTGCGACAGTACGGGACTCTAGAAATATGAAATACAACGAAATAACAACAGAGGATCCCACCCGTGAACACGAACTCTGCAGCGCCGTGCATGCGCAATTAAAAAGCAGTAATAAAACTACTCAAACATAAAAACACCCAGCAAAAACGCGTGCACGTAAGCGGCAGGACTCAAAAGAGCAAAGGGACGAGCGACGACTCGCAGAGCGGCGCACGCGCAGCACAGAGTTACTGCGCATGCGCACGTGGTGGGGGAAGCTGCGTCTGGTGCAGCTCGCTGTCTCCACCTGCTGGTTGACAGGAGGTGATGCTGACTCGGGAGAGCCGCGGTGTGCAGGGAGCGGCCGCAGCTGCGCACGCGCAGTGCCCCGGGACCGCCGCGCGCACGGCGCGGCTTCTTCCGCTCGGTGCCGCCGCCTCACGCTGTAACAAACGTGCCGTACCGCAGCCGGGACCTCGCACCTTCCCTGGGTGCCGCCGCCTCACGCTGTAACAAACGTGCCGTACCGCAGCCGGGACCTCGCGCCTTCCCTGGGTGCCGCCGCCTCCTGCTTGTCCTGCCCTTGTGGGGCCACAGTGCCCTGAGTGCAAATCGCGCAGTGGCGCTGCTGCTGCCAGGCATTCGTAGTCTCCTCTTGCTTCTGTGGCCTGAATTGCTTCCAGTCAGCAAGGATTGTTCCCAAACGTCATCCCCTCTGGAGCTCGATAAAGTTGTGTTCCCGAAGTCCAGGTGCTGCTTCTTGGTGCTGTGTGCACCTCTTGCCTTTGCCTGCTGTGAGCAGCTTTGTGTTGCCGCTCAGTGAAGTCCAGTTCAGAGGTTTCTATACCAAAAACCCCTATAGTGAGCCATCAGAAGGGAGGTTTCCTGTTCTGCTATATCTTGGCTTTCTGAAATTGCTATATCCTCTTGCATGCTGTATGCGTGAGAGAATTCATGCCATGATTCCTCCAATTTGGCACTTGTCTGTACCTTGCTTGGGGTACAGAGCATCCTTGAGTGCATTGTTAGGAATCTTAGCATGGAAGATACTTGAGATGTGAAGCTGGAGATCATGAACATGTTTGAGAAGCAGAAAGGTTTACTGGACTATGGTCATGTTTTGAATGCAGCAAAGGAAGGCCATCTATTGGCTGGGCCTGTCATTTGCACTGGCTTAGCTCTGCTGTGCAGGAAAAAAAAAAGTTCAGTGCTTTGGTGTTGTGCATTTCAACTGTAATGTATTGTCAAGTTTGTCTGATGGGTCTTGCATGAATTTTATGTGTTAATCTTGTTGCAAAGCTAAAGGCTGAGAGGGGATGCTGTCAGTAATACAGAAAATATTACTGTGGGCATAGAATGCATCTGAATACCTCTGAAGAGACTGTGCTACCTCTTACCTGGACACTCCCACCCAAATAGTTGACTTGAAAAAGAAAAGCAGACAGTATGTCTTTTGTTTCTCCTGGTTGCTGAGGACTGTTACCTCCCGTTGAGACTCTTGAGACCCTGCAGCTTCTTTTGTATGTTGACAACTCTGTCATGCCTTTAATTTGTTCTCTACCCCTGTAATAAAGGTGGAGTATGCACGACTGTACACACCATCTCCTGAGCTGGTTGGATGTTATGGGGAATGCTAAGAAGGTGACAGATCAGTTGTTGTTTTAAAACCAAAGGCAATTATTTGGGATGATTCCAGAGTACAAATCTCACATTCAGTTGTTGCTTTATTGCCATTGAGGGTGGTTGCTTTCAAGTTGATGAACACTGGTAGACTGTCTTACTTTGTTTGAACAGCCATGTTTATTTCGTCCACCTCCAAAGCTTGGGAAGAAACCGAAACAATGTTTGGAAATTGTTTAGAATAAAGCTGGTGTTCCAAGAGTGGAGGAGTAAGCACTCAGGAGTCACTTAAGGAATCAGCTTTCCTCAGCACGAGAGGAACCAGCCATGGGCACTGCTGTGTAATATGGAGGACATGCAACCACTGCATCTCTCTGAGCAGCTGAGAACACACCCTCCAGTGTTTTGCAAGCCAGTGAGCTGTTTCACTTTTGTGTGTAAATATTTTGGCAATAGAATACAGGGACTCTCATATCTATGTGTGTGGCTGGGTGCTTCTCTATGCATATTTGGGTATCT